TTTTATAGTGCAAATGTCACAGTTACAAACAACCTAAATGAAACGTCTTAAGTCGAACTAATTTCCGGATGTCCATTAATATATCCACATTTATTTGAAATACATGTTTCAAATGGTGTTCTTTGAGTTCTTTCAAACAACCAACAGAAACCTTTATAAAACGCCCCTTTTATGACTATTTATGAAAACATACTTCTACGAACCTATAGAAAACGTTCTCGCATTGTTAAATTGTGCCTAACGGAAGTTTCAAAAACAACTTAAATCAAACATCCGAAGAACATCTTTTTTTCGAGCTTTGATGATTTTAAGTAGGTATATTTTTACCAATTTTAATTTAGAAAACCTTTTCATACCACTTGCAACAATTATGGGCAATATTAATAAAATTCTGAGGGTCTGAGGGCCACCACAACATTCAATGCAATATCCAGTTGGACTGATAATTTTAACAGATCAATAGGATTTTGGTTGGGCTCCACTAACGTACATAACACAGATACCTAGTTCATCAGCTAAATTCTTCCGCATTCACATCAAAAGTGTTTTGAACCATAAGAACATGTTCTAAATTTTTGTAATATTCCAATAATAACTCTTCTGATGGAGTTTTTTTCAGTAGATGGATGTCATATAAGAAGTTTATATGCCCATGCAATCTCGCTTACTATAGTCACTGTGCTCTTTTAATTGTTCAATATATGTTGACACCTATCCTGTAATGTTTTAGTATAGTTAAAGTTGGTTTTATTTTCTATCAAATTTTTGTTGTATGGTTTGAATTTGCCGCCCCTGGATCCTGCCGCCCAATTCGCTACCCCCTTAAGCCGGCCCTGGGTATTATCGCTACTTTTTTGCCACTCTATATAGCGTATAAATAATGATGTTTACTGGGGGGGGGGGGCACATTGGGCACTAAGCCCCTTCCCGACCTTTTTCTCTGGATAAGGACAGTCCCGCTTTTTCATTTCATAGATCTGGCAACCCTGGGCTCGACCAACTGATCATTTAAATTGTTTCCTACTTTATCTCGCTCTTTATCTTACTCATTTATAATCGCTTTTGGTTTTTTACTAATGTATCCTACCTTATCTTCTTCTTTGTTTTATCCACTAAAATCTGGAAAAACATTATGTTTGAGATTGTAATTAGGGCAACGTCGCTTTTGATCAAGTAGGTCTTGTAATGTAATGTCATTTGGCATTTTAGACAGTCGGCCATTTTCGAGTGTTTTTATCTAGTTTCTCCTTGAATTTTCCACTTTTCCAGGCCGGTTTCGATCGGGAAAACTGTTAATTATATGTGAGCCCGAAGGGCCAAAATTATACGCGAGCCCGAAGGGCCGGTGTTATATGCGAGCCCGAAGGGCCGGAGTTATTTTAATCACGGGGTCCAGTTTATAATTCTATTGGACAGTGGATAATTTGGAGCCAATCAAAAACCGAGAATATTCAAAATGCGATTTTTAGCGCCCAATGAAAGAGCCGGGAATATTCAAAAACTTTAGTTTTATCAAGTTGACTTTGGAATGTTGGTTTTCTATTGGGCTTTCTTAAGATTTTTAATTTTTTTAGAAAACGGTGGTTTTTGGAAACATATACTACTTTATCGTTGTCTTTGTCTTACTATAATCAACAAGTAAACCATGTACCTACTTAATGTCATTTTTATTGAAATTAAACTAAAAACAAATTTCCGATGCTTTATCTAGGGAATTTTAATTATTATAATCATTATTTATTAATTATTTAACAGTTTTTAATTGAATTTTAAACCAAAAACTCATTTAAAATGTTATTTTTGTTTTCCGAGATGTAATGTGGCAATGTTGCTTTTAGTCGGCCATTTTGAAGTGACGTCTTGTGATTTTTTGCCAGTTTTTCCTCGAATTTTCGACTCTTCCGGGGATTTTTAATGGAAAAAAGCGATTCAACATACAAGGCTTTGGGTTTTCTTCATTTTCTAGCAAAAATTTGCACCTTTAAATGCCATAATTAGCAAAATCTCATTTAAAATGCTTTTGATGTGGCAACACCGCTTGTCGCTAACTTCAATCAAGGAGGCCTTGTAATAAATATCATTTGTCATTTTTGACAGTCGTTCATTCTCATTTGACATGTGTTTACATTTTTATCCAGTTTTTCCTCGAATTTTCCACTTTTTCCGGGCTGTTTTTGATCGGGAAAATCGATTTAAAGTACGAGGCTTTGAGTTTCCTTCATTTTGTATCAAAAATTTCGAGTTTTTCAACGGGGTAAGTAACAAAAACTTAAGTTTCATCAAGTAGGTCTTGGAATGTCATTTTTCACTGGTTTTTCTTTGGATTTTCCGCTTTTCCGATCAACAAAACCGATTTAGGGCCGGTTTATCAATAGAGGGTTACCCAATGAGTTACGGATAACCTTGGGTCAAAGTTGTGACAAGTGTTTATCCATTCAGGGTCAACTGCTAACTCGAAAGTTATTCCAGGAAAAAGTTAACCCACGCTCTCACGGCAAGTTATCGTATTTGACCCTGGGTTACCCTTAAAATATTCTCTTATTTTCTACCTGAATTTTTTTAGAAAGTGCTGGTTTTTGGCTTGAATTTTGATATTTTGAAGGGATCGAGGACCTAGATTTCAGTCATGATGATCGAGATGTTGTAGAATTTCTAGAACATGCGTGAGCGGTGCCTCTACCACTGAGAGTTGCAGTCAAATCCCATTAACGATATATAAAAAGTACCTAAAATGAGGTTTTTCGGCAACTGTTCTGAAAGTACATAATTTCCGAACGCGTTTTACTTGAGAAAGTATGCCTTTTTGAGCCTAAGCCGGGATGTGATTACTTAGGCCAAGAAGTGATTACTTTCCGGCCTAGTCTGGAAAGTACGTTCTTTCCGGCCGAAAAAACAGTATAAGTAATACTTTCGGAAAGTGTTTTTCCAGACTCGCAGACTGGAATCTTGTCTAGTCGTCCAAAAAAACAGTACTTTCCAGACTCCTCACGCAATATACTATTTTTGATGAGTCTAAAAAACTCCAAAAATTGATCGAATTCCGTTGACAAAAATATAAAGTAAATGTGACATCAAAAATTTAAAACTGATTACGCATTGGCATTGTTGTGGCAAGAGCGCCAGGTAATTTTTATTTTTCTGATTGCTACGGCTTTTAGGGACTAGGCCGAAAATGAAGCATTTTACGGACTGAAATTAGTCCGTAAAATAGACATATTTGAGAGCTAATACACGACTGAGATTGACAATTGACAATATTGACACGAGTACTAGGAGTGGGAGGACTGACAACAAATCTGTAGAGATCGATATTACAGTTTTCTGTTTCGGCGCTTGGACAAGCGTGAAATGATTTTTTTTTTTTCTTGTATGTTGTGTCCAAGAAGCGACAGGACACGCCGGGCCCCTTTGGGGCCTGGGCCCTTGTGCGCAGCACGACTTGCACGCCCTGTTGCTACGTCCCTGCTGGTAGCTTGTTACATTGGAGAAACGGTAATCCAGGGATCACAGACGCTTGTTCTGTGAAATTTTCTGAAAACCTTGGTTTGGGAAAAAGGAATAGACAACAGTCAATAAATTCAAATAAATATAACACTCTGTAACCGGAAAATATTTACAGGAAACCTCTAAATTAACGCTGTGAAAGAATAAAGCCCGGGACACATCTATCATGCATTCTTCCGATCCGACTCCGATCATACAATCAGGGTCCTTATTCTTGGAGCAGAGAGTAGCGTTCCCAAGCGTTCTCCTGGGAACGCTGCTTCCCTGTTCCAAGAAAAGGAACCTTGGTTGCATGATCGGAGTTGGATCGGAAGAATGCATGATAGATGTGTCCCGGTCTTAAACGGGGATGCATGAGAGAGATAATTAAATTAGTGAAAAATTATATGCGTGCGGTAAAAGTGTGACCATGCGGGCGGTGAAAAGCGTGTCCGGAAAAGTTAACGGTAGCGATAACGAAACGGTCAGCCTTGCGGTAGCTCTAAAAGTTCCGGTAACGTTAACGCTAACGGCAAATGTTAAATAGCAATAAAGCGGTAAAACAAACTCCAGTGACCCAAGCAAATGTACGGACACCACCTGAAACTACATAAGCGTTAGTTGTTCTCGAATCGTGCATTTAACGGATTAGAGGTACTATAGGCTTCGGAGAGAATTACCTGTACCAGATTCCAGGCGAAAATCTCTCATACAGAACTACCCGTCCAAGGTACCGGAAGTTCTAAGAGCAATAGAGACTATACCCGTCCAAGGTATCGGGCGAAACCCCTTTTGCCTTTAAAGATTTACCTGTCCAAGGTACCGGGCGAAAATCTTAGTGAAGCTCATATAATTGATTTTCACCTTCTTTACTAGCAAATTTATAGCCGAAAAGATGGGTCAGGTACACGAAAATATGTAAATTAGCTGATACCGGCCGAAACTCTGCTGGTATCGGTAGATTCCAGGCGAGGTCACGCGAAATTATGATAATGTATTTAATACTTAAGAATAAAATAAAGAGGATTTCAATTAATACCGCTGTGAATATAGAACATTAAGTCACGCAATTAATAATTAAATTAAGTTGAAGCAGGAGGCGCACTTATTTTATGAAAAATACTGAAACTTCATTACAGTAGTAAGAAGGTTTGAAATTGGCTTTGCGTCACTCACATGATTCCAGAATGAGATAGCGCTAGTAAAGGCACGAATCTCTCCTGTTCTCTCACTTTAATCTTGGCCGCAAATATACGTCATGAGTCAATAGGCAAGGGGCCATTCCAAACCTTCTTTCTACTTTATTGAGAATCACTGCTATTTTAGAAAAATGAAGTCCACCAAGCAAGACTCCATTCCCCAAATATGTTTTTCTCATGGAAAATGATAGATAATCTCAACCACGAAAAACCTTTCCCATAAAACATTTATACCTATAATCGGCAGTTGGGTCTTATCAAATTCTACTATCTGTACCAGACGCACAATATTAAATTAACTTATTTATATTATTATAGAAATGTCGAATGACGTAGAAGACGCACCATTGAAACCGGCTGAAACTGGAGCACCCATGCGCAAAAAACCGTTTGCGCACAATTCAAGACTACTTTCCCTGTACAAATAATATATTGAAGCAAAATAGAGCTGTCAGTTGTTATGATCCAATAAAATACTCAAAAACTCATTTTACGAATATTTATTTGTTATTAGGTACGCGTTGTTAACGTGTTACATCATATTATTATAATATGCAGAAATTGTGATTTTAGTTTTTAAAATTATTTTTACATAGAGACTGAAAGGCTTTTTTAATTTGTTTATATTACTTTAGATCCAACATCTATGTATACGTCATTTAGTTTTGATCTAAAAGAATTATTGTTTTCTTTTTCTTAAAACCCCTTAATTAATTAATAATAAATTTGAAAATAGTATCCCGTTGCTAAATAAGGTTTGCGGTTAATGTAAATGGTTGTTATAGTGAAAAAAAATATTTAGTTAGATCAGTTGAAAGTTGATAATGAAAACTTATTGTCGATGCGAGAGTGTAAAACCATATAAATTTACACTCTCTCAATTGTATAATAAGAAAGTTATGCAATATAGAAATGTAGACCTATTAATTTAAAAAAAAAAAACGGCCTATTGTTAGCTTTTCCTTATATTTTAAGCGCCTTTCGATTATCTTACAGTGTAAATTATTACCTGATGAGAAACTTAAGTCCACTACCCAGATCTCAGTTTTTAGTTAAAAGCAAAAACTCTCAGGTTCTCTTTGTCAAAAGTTACCCAAGCATCTAGTCATCTATACTTTTGACAAAGTGCAATGCAATAAATTATTGGTAAGCTTTATTAAAAATGTTACAGTATTTTAATTTTTAAATTATAGATTCTTATGTTATTAGTTTTATCTCTTGTACATTCCAAAAATATGTTATTTTCTGATTAACATAATATACCAAAGTATTTTTTTTTTTTTTAATTCTTGTCAAGATTTGATATTTTTTTTTTTAGTTAACTTCTTTGTATTTTCCAACTCGTGCCTTTGCTAATTTTACTGTTCTTTATATTCGTCTAAAAAATGTACATGTGTTTCATAATGATGTTAATGTCTAAAATAGATTTTATGTGCTGAATTAATAATTTGTTTTATTTTCTCTTTTAACTTTTTGGATCCTCTCACACATAGATGAAACTGGATAAAGTCGGAATCAAGGACGACTCCGAAAACCACAAACTTGGATAAGTATTTTGATTATCGATTATGAACCCCTTACTTTGAAGCTTAAAGGACCCCGCACCAATCTTATGAAAAATGACTTTCGGTGAAATTATCTGAAATTTGGATATGTTGTTCTCCTGAACATTCTAAACAAAAAATTTTCATTGACACAAAAAAATCCAACGAGCCATTTCCATAAGATTGGTGCGGAGTCCTTTGATGAGATTTCATTAGTGCAAGCCGCATTTGGAACTGTTTTGCCGCAACAACTAAAGAAAAGAGTAGGTACCTTAAGGTCACTCAAAAATATATAAGTAGCTAGGTATGGTATATTATGTGAGCTACTAACGATTTCATCAAAATCCATCCACTAAGTAGAAAATAAATTATGTTCTTAAAAGTTTCTAGATTTACATAGGTACATAGATGTAATCTCTGCATGCTTCACAAAATATTGATGACACCGCTCAAACCTTATGGAAAAGAGATATATGTAGGAAATCCCTGAATTTTTCATATTCTTTTTAGAGGAAATCTTCCTAATTAAAAGTTACCATTGCACTAGAGTCCAATATTAATCAATAGTTCCGAAGATATTGGCCAATGATGCTGGAAAATAAATACTTAGGTATTTTATTTAGTTATGCCCTAATTCACTTTTATTTTCAGAAAACTCTCTTTTTGCATTTCAAGTATCTTTAAATTAATGCTCTATTTTTCTGGATCATCACAAATTTATTATGGTAACTACATCATCAACAATCAATATTTATTGTCCATTTTAGTTTCGAGCTTCTAGCTACAATGAAAAAAAAATATATGAGAGGTGTATCAACTGCTTTTGCACCAATAATTTTGCACAGAAAAATTTATATCATGCTTACTTTCTTTGGATGAATGTTCAACGGATCATTTTGATTGCAGTGATTACCAAAAAAACTATTCCGCAAACTTTTGCTACTAAAAAAATTAAAAATATAATCATTAGGTAGGTGCAATGTTGTTAACTTATTAGGTAGTTACTTTGTACGATATCGTTCATGTTTCACTTGAAAATTTTGCTGGCTAGAGGAAGTTATTGTCATAATTTCAATGTTTTGACAGATGCATACAACTTTGATGCAGATGTCATTGGTTTGTACTTTTGACATCGATGATGTCATAAATTAGAAAAAAAGGTTTGCCTTTTCACATCCCATTTCTCCCTGTTTTGATGTTATGTTGACCCAAATTCTCTCCTAATTTTGTATAGATACCTCACCTACGATCTCCTGCTGTTTGTTTAGGTTTAGTCAAGAAATGATATGATAAGATCAAATGGTGAATAATTTATTTTATTAACAAGTATTTCATCATTCTACATCATTAACAATCAAAAATTGTCCCTTTGCTTTTCAAGTTTCTAAATGGAAAATATTATATGAGAGGTGTTACTGCTTTTACTCAAAAAAAAAAAATTATACTCACGTTTTTGAAATTTCTTTGGAACGCTCAACGGATTTCCTTGAGTAGAACGATTACCAGGACAACTATTGCGCAAATTGTTAACACTAAAAAAATAAAAAAATATAATTAGTTATTAGGTCCAATGTTGTTGGCTTATTATTTACCTTGTACGACTTCGTCCTTCATGTTTCACTTGAAATTTTGCTAGCTAGAGGAAGTTATTGTCATAATTTCAATGTTTTGACAGATGCTTACTGCAAATAACCTTTGATGCAGATGTTTTCGATAAAAATTACTACATAGCCGCCCAGGGAAAAAGGAAATAATAGTAATATGGAAAGGAAAGGCAAGTATTTGAGCCATCCAGTTAGAAATCTGTTTGAGGCAAATAGACTAGTAGCAGTCCTAAATTCACATGGAAAAATTTTAACCTTCTTCCTTGTCGACTGTACACTTGGGAATCCCTACAACACGCGCAAACAGACATATTGACTTCATTCTAATAAAAAGTTGATTCAAAAATGAAATTCATGGCGTAAGAACATACCAAGGCAGAGATGTTAATTTTGACCATCATAACCCAGTAGTTGGCAACCTTACTTTGAAATTGAAAAACCCGACAAAGAAACATGTCAAATAAGTAGACATCACCAATTTCCGCACCCCATCTAAAAAAGACAAAGATGAAAAAGTATTGAAGAAGACTGGAACACCTTGAAAGACAGAATACACAGAATTAAAAATGAAGTACCTACCTAATTGATACCAATACGTACAAAAAATGATGATGATGAACGAAGAACATATAAGAATAGACATACAACTATGTACAAAACATTTAACATAAAAATAGGAAAGAAAATAAAGGCAGCTAAAGAATACTGGATATGGCCTGAAATGATCTGATATCAAAGCACAATCAGCAAAAGATCCCAAACAGAATATTTGGACACGACAGCAAAGCCATTAATCAAAAAGAAGTGAAAGACCATTGGATAAACTATATTCGACAATTATTCTCGACTAAGATCCACGACTCTTTAACAGTAAAGAAGATTCAGAAGAAGCACCAGATAAGTATACTAAGTTCGGAGGTTGAGAGCACTCAAAAGCAGCTGGGCCAGCGTCTCCCTGGGCTTCAAAATTAACATAAAGAAAACAAAAGTAATGGCTATCAATAGACGAACCGTTCCAGCACCAGATATAGGTATATATTGTGGAAGTATTTAAAATTAATCTTCAGGAGTTTGAAAAATAGAAAGTGTAACGCATTCAATGACGATTAGTATATTCTTCAACGAGCATATAGGTAATGACTCGAATGATTCCAACACTCGCCTTCAGCTCATGTTTGAATTTTCATTCTCCTGAATAATAGCCATTATTCCAGAACAGAAGACTATATAGGGGAGGGTAGTCCGATAGTTCACACTGGGACATTACATTTTTCTCTAACGGCAAAGAATCTAACGGCCAGTTCCATAATCACGAAAAAGCCTACTTTATTCTTAAAAAACACCTTTAACTTCTAAAATCTGTTCCATAAACAGTTTTTATCCCATTTTGACGTTTAAAAATGACATTATTGAACGCATAACAATAAAGGTAAGTAGACGTTTATCACCTCAGTGATTTAAAAATATTTTAACTCACTCTCGGCATTTTAAGTCACTCTGCCCATCTAAAAATCTGAAACCTCAGTGATTTAAAATATTTTTAACTCACTCCCTGCATTTTTATTTCTACTTAATTTTTAAAATTTTCACAAAATGGGATAAAATTTTGTATACATCACGTGAGTTAAAATGTTTATTCATTCGAAGAAAATTAACCCACTCGCGAGGGCTCGTGGGTTAAACTTTCTTCTCATGAATAAAAATACATTTAACTCACTTGGTGTATAAATAACTATTAAAGGAGCCATTACGAAAAAGGAACGTTTACCTTAAAGTGCCAATTACGCGTTGAAAAGAGTACTTTATAGGGCAATTTAACCTATAAGGTGCCAAATTACAGGTTCTGTGTTTTGGTTATTTCATGTCAGAATCTAAATGGCAAATTTCGACCCATTCAGATGAAGAGGATATAGGTAAAATTATATTAAGCTATACAGGATGAGAGTGGATTGTTTTGAAAAATATGACGACATAGAATTAGGCAATCCAACGATGTGTCAAATATGGCCGCCTGTTGGCACCAATGAACTATAGCTAAAAACTGGAATGCGCACACATTGCCATATCTGCCATAAAAATGAAGCCATGAAAGACAGATGCCACAAGGGGGAATGTTGTTTTTTTCTGTTGCTCGCTGACATATGACGTTTTCGAAAGTTTTGTCATATTTCCCTTCACAGGTTTCATCAATTGGAATACGTGTTGGAAGCAATTTTCCCCATTTAACATAATGAGTGCGACAAAAGCAGGTATCCCCTCCGCAACAGCCGCACTAGGCTTCACGTTCGTCCTTATGTGTTCGCATTCCAGTTTTTGGTTATAGTTCATTGGTTGACACACATATGCCCATAACCCTAAATTTCTTGTGTCATCAGTCATCGTCCCTTGTGTTTACCTTTGACGTTGGGGATTTTAAAATTAATTCCAGCTTTTTACATTTCAAAATATGTCTAAATTATTGTGAGTGTGCGTTTTTTTAGGTCTCAAAACTCAGAAAATTAAGCAATAAGCAGCAAAATACACAGACACACCGTGCGTTCGGTATTTTGATCAGAGTTCTCCGAGCTTGAATTTACCGTTCGTTTATTCAAAAAGTGTACTCGGAACAGGCTCATTTGCGATCGTTTATTAAAATTTTGGGCACTCGGATACTTTGTTCAACTGCTCTGTTCGCTCGCTGGTCATGTGATTACGGCTCCGCTCAGCACGCTCTGCTCCGCTCTGCTCTTTGAGCAAAATACCGAACGCAAGGACAGTATTAAAACAAGAAAATCTTTTGTGTGCCAACAATCCGTCAAAAAAAGTCACGTGGTTTGGATTGCCTAAGGGCGAATTCTCATGAGCGTAAGTTGACATTTCTGGCGTAAACACGTGATAAAATGGTTGGGTTTTATTGGCAAAATATTTGACATGTTGGATATTTTACCAATTAAATTACATCATATTATCACGTGATTACGCCAGAAATGTCAACAACAATCTTTCTAACCATTGCCAACGAAAGCTCAGACTAATCAGTGTAGTTCAACGCCGGTAGGAGTATTTGCCCTCGAAGTAGTTGTTTCTGACTGGTCAACGAAGTTCAATAAAATAATTGGTAATAGATCTGGTTATTTTGTTGAAAAATGAAACAAACAACAAACAAAACCTAAATCAAACTGGAAAAATGAAATCAAAATCAACTACAACTTACCGAAAATTAAACACCCCAGGAGACAACAACACTCAACCAGTTACAGCCGGATCTTCTAGTAAAATGATCTGGGCCGGTATTATCGTACTCAAAAACGCTCATCGCTTTTTGGTCGCTAAGCACACATTCCAAATTCCGGGAAAGCACCATAAATCAGGCGCGTGCTGTATGCCGACAAAGAAACGGTACCGCATTCCACTAAAAAGAGGGCCGAAATGACGAAATCTTGATGTCAAAGCACTCAATAAAATTGGGGGAGAAATTAGGCCGAAAGAACAAAGGAAAAAAGGAGACAATTTTTATATCAAAAGTCTGAATTGCGATAAAAATAGCAGTGTCGGTTCAGAAGAAGTATCAGTCAAGAACGGTCAAAAGTGTCAGTCGAGAACAGTCAGTTCAGAACGGTCAGTCAAGTGTCAGACGCAGCTAGCAGACTCCAAAGTCGAAGATAGTACGATAAGTTTTAAGGAGGCAGTGCGAAAATTTCGGGTTCATAAAGTCAAGTCGTAAAAATAACGTTTCAGTAATTACGTGTGTGCCAGTAGAATTTTGAAGTAATAAATACATCTTGTAAGTACATTTACACTGTAAAAAAAGGAAATTTGTACTCTTTATAAAATAGGATAAAAAGTTAATGAATTAATAAATTTACGAAAGTTAAATAATTATCCCAAAAGGAAAAAAAATTAAAATTGGGATTTTCGTGATTGATAATTGAAAAAAATTTGAACTTTCTAATTTAACATTATTTTTGATAAGGCAAAATTTTGGTACGAAATTTACCTATTGGAATTTCTATATTAGAATTAAGGTTTTTGTAAGAAAAGAATGAAATTTCAAATAAGTCAGAGTAAAAATTTTGGGGTAGTATACTATGTATAAAAATCATTAAAAAAACTGCTCGACATTATTCTATAGGCTAAATGGTGAAGGTATAGTGGGATACTAAATTATTTTCCAGCGTAGTGTCTATAGAATTAGTCAGAGAAAAACAAACTGTAATTTGAATTTAGCGCCACAGCGGCAACCAATAGTATTCAAGCCGCTGACCATCTGGCAACGCTGCTCAAAATGCCTCAAAATGACAGCTGACTTCAACAGTTCAACGACGTGCGGTGTCATGTGAATCGTATGACATGTGACATTGTCGCAGACTTGTTTACGTTGTTTGATGTAGTAAATTTGATGTTTCGATCGTTCTTGACGGTCAATGTCAGTGCAAATTGTGCGTTCTCAAAACCGTGATGTGTTGCCAGATTGGAAAAACTAACTACGTCACGAACTTTTATTTTCACGTGGGGGCGGGGCTAAGAGGAAATTTAAAAAATTAAATTCCAGGCTATTGCGGTTTTTACAAAGCAACTGATTACACTAAATAGTACGATACGTTGAGTATATCATTACGCAGTAGTTAAAAATCACTTGTATATACTACCCCATTGTGTTTTACTCTCACACCCACAAGTATAGGACCCATATTAATCTGTGTCTCCACTCAGAAACAAAAGCCGCTGCTCGCCAATTCAACATCATATAAGTTTCTGAATTAGGGTCACAGAATTTTCTGATTGGTTCTTAAATATAGTGGAGTATTGAGACCAGGCTATTTTCATTGGTTCAAAACAATTGAGTAATGGAAGAAAAAACTCACTGTATGAGTAATCATTCACATTGAGCAATCGAAAATGGATGTATATTATGCATATTATTCAATACTCATAGAAAAACTACTTTTCATTGAATTCAGAATACCTATTATGCAGGTAGGTACGTCGTCTTATATGACTCCCTTTTTGCATTTCAAGTCCCTGTGAATTAATGCTCAATTTTTTTTTTGGTCGTTACAAATTTATTATAGGAACAAGTAGGTATTTCAACATTCTACATCTAACATCGCCAACAATCAAAAAGTGTCCCTTCTATTTTCAAGTTTCTAGCTACAAAGAAAAATATTATAATATGAGAGGTGTATTTACTGCTTTTGCATGCTCACGTTTTTGAAATATTTTTGGAACGGTCATTGGATCATCTTGATCACAGTGATTACCAGGACAACTATTGCGCAAATTGTTACAACTAAAAAATTAAAAAATGTAATTATTAGGTCCAATGTTGTTAGCTCATTAGTTACTTTGTATGACTTCGTCTTTCATGTTTCACTTAAAATTTTGCTAGCTACAGGACACAGTGGTTATCACAATTTCAATGTTTTGACAGATAAAATATCTACCGATCAGGACCAGGTAAAAAGGTAAGTACCTACTTGTTAATAAGTTTGGTCATTCTCTGGAAACGAGAAGTAAGCAAGGTTAAGCCATCCAGTTAGAAACCTGTTTGGTCCAAATAGACTAGCCAGGCCTAAATTCACATGAATAAATAGCAAATTTTATTTCAAAATCTATGTTTTTTTGGCTTTACAATAATAACTCACCTTCATAGTGACTGACAATATTGTCAGAAAGTCAAATCAAAATTCCAGTAAAACCCAGAAAAAAAAAATGTCTTCAGTTTAAACATACTATGCAGTCTCAGGATCTTATAACAAGTAATTGATAGTACCTAAAAGTAAAGAATTTTTGATGAAAATTACCAAAGTTTTCAGTAGCGAAATACGTGGCTGCTGTAACTTTGATTGTTGCCGGTATTCGAATAATTAGAGGCTAAAAATGGCTGAAGAATGCAAGAAAAAGAGTAAATTTGTATCTTGTAAGCATACTAGTACATTCTCCATTTTATTAACTTATTTTTTTGAATTCTTTTAGTGATCAAATTGGGTATTTTCTGTACCGCTGTCGTATATGCCTGCAAATACGCCAAAAAGCTCGGATGAAGAAATAAAACAGCAACTTTATTGTGTAAAAAATATACTTATGTAAAATGGTTTCGTAATAAACATAACAATAATAATTATATTTAAAACAATATACATACATAAAGCTACTGTACTATGTATTTGAAAAAAAAATTCTCCTGGCTGCCTAAATGTAGGTAAGTAGAGATTCGACCTATAAAGTCGAGGATTTTAAACAATTTATGCACAAAAATAACTACCCTGTATTAAACAAACAAAAAAATATGCTTTGTGCACAGCCTGTTATTTTGATGCTTAATTCATTCATTCAACAATTATCAGTAAGTCTTCAGCTTCGAGTTTCATGCCCATACTAGCGTTGACAGTCTTAATAGTACCGGCAACTGGACTTTGTACCACAGTTTCCATTTTCATGGCAGATAAAATCACTACGGGGTGGCCTTTTTCGATTTTGTCACCTTCCTGCCAATGATTAGTGAAAAAATTTCTATTAAAATAAAGGTTTTGCTTGATGGCTCAAAAAAAATCAAACTGAACTAATTGTTTGATCCTCAAAGTGTAAAATAAAGAAAAGTAACATTGTCGCGATAAACTTACCTTTACTCTAATATCAATCACAGTGCCAGGCATTGGAGCACCAACATGACTCTTGTTACCCTTTTCGGCTTTCGGATGGAACACTATATCCTTAGTGCCTTCCTTGTCCTTGATAAACACTGAACGTAAAGTGCCGTTCAGCTCGAAGAACACTTCCCTTTCTCCGTTTTCAGTCAAATCCTCGGCCATGGCAAGAGTTTTAATGCCCAAAGTTTTACCTTTGTCAATGGTACACTCGAATTCTTCACCTACTTTGGGTCCAGTCAAAAATATTCTGGTGTCTAGTTTGTCTACTGGGCCGTAAGTATCACGGAAAATCAAATAGTCTTTGGTTACTTGAGGATAAAGGGCAGCGCTCATGACGTCGCGTTCGTTAATTGACGGTGAGATTTCTTTTAGGTCTTCTTGGAGCTTTTTGAAGTCCAAAGATGGTAAGCTGGCTCCAGGTCTACCTTCAATACGTGGCATATCTCTGAGGACCTATATAAACAGAATTAATTTTTCGAATACCTACAATATTTAGTTGGTTTAAAAATTGTACCTTTGATCTTAGAGGTTCAGGGAATCCTCCGTAGGGTTGTCCAATTGCTCCTTGTAAATATTCCACCACAGATTTAGGGAACGATAATTCTTCAGCCTTTTCCAAAACATCTTGCGGTTGCAATTTATTTTGTACCATAAATTGAGCTAAGTCTCCAACCACTTTAGATGATGGTGTTACTTTAATAATATCACCCAAAAGCTCGTTAGCTTGAGCATAAGCTTTTTTGACGTCCTCAAAGAAATCGCCCAAGCCGAGCGAGTACGCTTGGAATTGCAAGTTGGTATATTGCCCTCCGGGAATTTCATTATTGTAAACATCGGCATTTCCACTCTTCATAGTCGTAGTACATTCGAATGGAGCGTACAAAGTACGAGTTTGTTCCCAGTAGGCCGAATATTCACTGACTTGAGGTAGTTGGAGCTTGGTGTCCAAAGGTGTGCCTTGCAAACTGGCAACAATAGCGCCCATACTTGGCTGAGAAGTCATTCCGGACATAGCGTCGACAGCGACATCGACTACGTCAGCTCCAGCTTCGGCACAAGCCAGCATCGAAGCTACGCCAGCGCCGCTAGTGTCGTGGGTGTGAATATGAATTGGGATTTCGGGGAATTTGTCGCGGAGAGCTGTAACCAGCATTCTGAAATAATCGATAATTACATGGTTATTCGAATTGATTTGGGAACTTAAAATAATATATTGTAAATAAGTAACAAAGTAACACAGTTACTTTTGAGTAATATTGGGTGGTATGAATAAAAACGAAGTACCTACTACCTACTACAAGTATTAGTATATTCTACGTAGTATTCAAAAAGAACGATTTACTAATTTCCGGTAGCTTTGAAATGTACCTAGTATTTACTTCGTTTTACTAATACTTGTAGTAGTAGCAGATACTTCGTTTTTATTCATACCACCCATTGAAATCTGTTAGGATAAGTGTTCGTTTAGCCACGCCTGCTCTAGTAGTATCAATAGTCACAACCATATCTGTCAGATGTTAGTAACGTCAACAAAGTGAGGTTATCGATATAGCAATGTCAATGAACTATAACCAAAAACTGGAATGCTAACACATAAGGACGAACTTGAAGCCTAGTGCGGCTGCTGCGGAGGGGATACCTGTTTTTGTCGCACTCATTATGTTAAATGGCGAAAATTGCTTCCAACACGTATTCCAATTGATGAAACCTGTGAAGGGAAATATGACAAAACTTTCGAAAACGTCATATGTCAGCAAGCAACAGAAAAAAACAACATTCCCCTTTGTGGCATCTATCTTTCATGGCTACATTTTTTTTGGCAGATATGGCAGTGTGCGCTTTCCAGTTTTTAGCTATAGTTCATTGAGCAATGTTGTTGTGATCTTCATGGTAGAATGTTTTGTTATTAATAAAATCTTTAGTTTATTTCTAATAGTAAAACTTTATTCTGGCTTCATTCCACAAAATAACTCTAACAGGTTATGGGCCCAGATATGCCAAAAGTCAGTGTGTAAATTAAAAGTTTTGTTTTGTGCTAACACTCAAAAGAAAATGGCAAGCAGTTCATTATCATTTGTGTCGATTGATAAATTGACTGGTCGGGACAATTATAGCGAGTGGAAGTTCGCTATGAAGGCACTTTTAGAATTAGATGACTTGTGGAAAGTTGCCGAAGGTACCGAAGTGGATGAAAAGAAAGACAAGAAAGCACTTTCTAAAATAATCTTGTCTGTGGATAAGTTAAATTATTCCCATTTGAAGACTGCTGCAAAAGCTAAAGATGCTTGGCAAAACTTATAAAAAGCTTTTGAAGATTCAGGACTAACAAGAAAGGTTGGTCGTTTAAGGGCTTTAGTAACTACCAAGTTAGAAGACTGTAGTTCAGTAGAAGAATATTGTGACACCATCATTTCAACATCAGATAAGTTAAATGCAATGAATGAGTGGGTCGGCACTCTCTTGCTGGCAGGGTTGCCGGAAGAATACAGGCCAATGATAAATGGGTCTTGAGAGTAGTGGAACACAGATTACAGGTGATTCAATTAAAGTGAAGTTGCTGCAAGATGTTAAATCAAGTTCTGATCCAAAATCAGCTGGCTCGAATGCAGCAATGTACTCAGAAAGAGGTTCAGGTAAAAAGTTCACAAGAAACAAAGTGAAGTGCTTCGGATGTGGCAAAATGGGTCACTATAAGTCTCAATGTAGAGCAGGCAACTCACAAGGTAATCAGGGTGAAAGAAAGAAAAGTAACAACACAGCTTTTCTAGCATGTTTATGTTCACAGCAAGTAAACAGTGATGCATGGTTCTTAGACTCTTGTGCTTCAGTCCATTTGACTAAAAAATAATGACTGGTTAATGAATTCTACCAAAAACAGTGGCAAAATTAAGACTGCAAGTAATAGTGACATAAACATTAAATCGAAAGGGACAGTGGACATCAGTGTGAAAATAAATGGTCAAGATAAGGTGGTTCCTGCAAATGAGGTTATGTATGCTCCTGAAGCAGCAGTAAATTTGTTGTCGATCAGTAAAATTGTGCGAAAAGGGCACAAGGTCATTTTTGACAAGTCTGGAGCAAGGGTTATTGACATGTCGAACCAAGTTGTTGCAACAGGGTTTGAGCAAAATGGTATTTATCAGTTAAGTATCTACCAATATCAATGTCTGTCAAAATGGAGGTCTACTAGTGGTGTAGCCAAACCAAACATGGACGTCGGCGAGATCCGAATTGCGAGGCCCTTTTTAATGAAGGGAAGATCATATTTTTTGTGAAAAAAAACTGGATATAAGACAGTGACAGGGAAGGGTAGCCGCCGGCAAGCCCGCCGAAAGATAACTATGCTTAAAACCAGATAAAAAGTCATTGATAAAGATGTTGAATAGAAAGGGGCCCAGGTGCGAATCCTGGGGGACGCCTGATGATACTAATATTTGAGAAGATGTGAAGTTGTTAAGGTGTACCATTCGAGTCCTACCTATGACATAACTCTTTATCCATTGTAGGAGAGAACCTGAAACACCGAAGGGCTCTAGTTTTTTAATCAAAACTTCGTGGTTCACTCTGTCAAACGCATTGGAGAGGTCGGTGTGAATAGAGTGTACCTCTTCACCTCTCTCCAAGGCTCTAGTCAGGATGTCCACATAAAACAGCATAAGTGAGAAGATTTAGTCGGTAGAAGATTTTTTTTTTGAAGCCAAACTGCTTGTGTTTAATTTCAGGTCCAAGGCAAGATGTTAAGAATTTTGTGACTATAATTTCAAATATTTTTGCAATAGCATCGAAGATACTTATAGGGCGATTAGTCACATTTTCTGACACGTGATTTGTGAATGGGTACTACAAAACTTGATTTAAAGAAGTCTTAAATATACCGTCCTGTAGTGATTCGTTGAACATTAGCTATATGCAGAAGTCGAGATAGAAAGGGTGCTACCCTCTGTTTTTGTGGCGTATAAAATGGAAATGGTTGGTTTGACGTAAAATAGGTGAATAAAATTTTTTGAAGAGGATTTTCTGATATTTTCTTCCTTTCATAGCCAAAATAGTCGTAGTCGTACCGAATATTTAAGAAAAACTCATTTCTATGACATTTGACCTTGAATATCTTGAAACGCAAACAAGATATCGTTGGGGACTTTTAATACATTATTAGTATAATAAAAGTTGAGGTGTATGCAAAGTTACAGCTCACTCTGATTTTTTCAGTAGATGAATCCTTACATGATTGTACTATCCAAGGTAGTCAATAAAATTGAAAGCGATATTCTGGTTGCCAAGCAATCTTTTGATGTACAAAGCGGAAGGTGAACATACTACGAGCTCTCTCACAGCTCGTAGTATGTTGTCTTATGCTGGTTTGTCGATAGAATATTGGGGCGAAGCAGTTAACACTGCAGTCTATCTCATAAATAGATCACCAACAAAAGCAGTACTTGGGAAAACTCCCTATGAAGTCTGGAGTAAGGAAAAACCCAACTTATCAGAGCTGAAAATTTTTGGTTGTGAAGCTATGGCACATGTGGCAGATGAATTGAGGAAGAAATGGGATCCTAAATCACAGAAGTTGCTTTTTATGGGTTACGGAGAAAATAAAAAAGGATACAGACTGATTAATCCAAATACTAAGAAAATTATTTTTAGTTGAGATGTGTTTTTTGAAGGAAAAGAGAAAAATACCAAAGAAAGAAATACAGAGATAAAAGAAGACAAAACAATTGTATGGCCAGTAGAAATTAAAGAGAATGAAGAACAAAATGAAGAAAATAGTTTTGATGAAAGTTCTCAGTTTGGTTCTATTCAAAATGAAGACAGCAGTGACTTTGAAGATGTACAAATAGAAATTGAGGAGGAGATAGCTGATGCAGAGCCTGTTCTAACAAAAACTGGTAGAGAGGTACATAAACCTCAGTATCTTCAAAATTATGAGATATATGCTACATATTTGGATGTTACAGAATCACAGGAGGATCCTCAAACATTTTCAGAAGCTTAGAAAAGTACTGAATGGCAAGATGCCATCAACCATGAATTGAAGTCTCTTAGCAATCTACAAACTTGGACTTGTCTAAACTTCCTGAAAATAAATATGCAATTGATACAAGATGGGTCTTCCGAACAAAGGAAGATGATACAGAGAAGGCTCGATTAGTAGCCAAGGGCTTCCAGATTCAGGAAGAGAATGATTTTACACCTATGTATGCACCAGTTGCCAGATTGTCAACGATTAGAGCATTTCTAGTACATGCTCTACAACAGAATTGGAATGTACCATCGTCACCAAAAGTATCTGGGACACAAATAATGCATAATAATCTCCTGGACTAATTCTACTGTCAATCATTTCAATGCATTTAATTCATAGTTTGGCAAATATTTGACAATAAAATTCATATAATAGGACAAGAGCTAATGTGATGCTGTCCCAGTTACTTTTGGTGACGATGGTACGTCAACTTGACATTCCAAGTGCTTTTCTGAATGGAAAACTTGAATCTCAAGTATACATAAAAATACCAGACGGCGTAAATGAAGACAAAAACAAAGTTTTGAAGCTCAACGGAGCTCTGTATGTGCTGAAGGAGAGTCCAAAGTGTTGGAATAGCCAATTTAATGAGATAATTAAAGATTTAGACTTTGAAAGATCTCAGTATTATTTCTGTCTTTATAAAAAGAAAGATGTGTGGCTTATTGTTTTTGTAGATGATTTAATTATCACAGGAGACAAAAATAAAGTAGGTACAGGATGAAGTTAATAATTTGAAGAACAAACTTAATGCCAAAGATTCATTAAAATGTAAATATCAAGAACTTCTGAAAACATGAGTATCACTCAGAAAAAGTATATTAATGAAATTCTACAAGATTTTGGTATGGCAGACTGTAAAGGAGTGTCAACACCTATGATAACAGGTTTTCAAGTTGAAAAATCAGAAGAAATCATTGATGTCCCATACAGAAAGTTAGTTGGATCGCTGATGTACTTGGCATGTACTTCCAGACCGGATATTTTGTATGCGGTGTCCTATCTTAGTCGATATTTGGACAAACCAACTCAAGTGTTGTGGACTGCAGGTAAAAGAATCCTGAGCTATTTGAAAAATACTGTTGATACTGGATTGATGTATACGAGGGGTGCAGAAAACTTAATAGCATATTCTGACTCAGATTGGGCTGGAGACAAGACCGACAGAAAGAGTACAAATGGCTCTATAGTACTGTATGCTGCTGGGAATCCAATCAGCTGGTTTTTTAAGAAGCAAACATGTGTGGCGCTGTCTACCGCAGAGGCAGAATACGTGGCAGGGGCGGCTTCAGCACAAGAAGTAGCGAACTTGAAAGGGATAATTTCGGAATTTTGAAAAATTGAAAATATAACGCTAAAAATGAACAATGTGAGTGCGATTTCGATGGCAAAGAGTTATGAAAATTCGAAACGCGGAAAACATATTGACATTAAGGAACATTTTATCAAAGATTTGTTGTTAAAGAAAGTCTTAGATGTGCAGTATGTTAACAGTGAAAATAATATTGCTGACATTTTGACCAAACCCTTGTGTAAGGAAAAATGCAATAATATTTGTTCTTTAATTAAAATTGAAAAATGTTAAATTCTTTAGATATTAGTTTTCTAGTGTTGTAAGTTCGTTTTTGTAAACATAGAGAGGTGATATTTTGCGATGTACAATTTTAAATTAAATTTTTAAATCGCGGAGGAGTGTTAGGATAAGTGTTCGTTTAGCCACGCCTGCTCTAGTAGTATCAATAGTCACAACCATAGAGGTCACAACAGTTTATTTCTAATAGTAAAACTTTATTCTGGCTTTATAATTCCACAAAATAACTCTAACAAAATCGAACAAAGGTTCCATGGCTCACGACCAAATCCGCCTGAAATAACTGACAATACGGGACCATGCATTCTTATTGATGAAGTTAGAGCAGCAATAAGGTCCATGAAAGAAGGAAAATATCCTGGACCTGACAGTAAAAATACAAAATTTTTCAAACTTATAGCGTAAAGTGGATCACATCAATTTTCAATAAAATTGACATGTTTGGCAAGATCCCTCTGAAGATTATTGGCTTGGATCAGAATGTATTCTGCACTAATACTGTTATCTGTTTTAATAAAATAAGCTTATAGGTACTTACTTAGCAGCAGTAGGTTTCAATAATCCAGCCATATCCTTAATACACAAAACATGCGTGCCAGCTTTGACGAGTTCGTCGGCAATATTCAAGTAATACTTCAAATCGTATTTCTTTTTGTTCGGATTGCTAACGTCTCCCGAATACGAAATTGCAGCTTCAACAATACCTCCAGCCTTACCGGCAGCCTCCATGCCCAGAATCAAATTCGGCAAGTAGTTCAACGAGTCGAAAACTCTGAACACGTCCATGCCAGTTTGCACTGCCAGTTCGCAAAATTTAAAAACGACGTTGTCTGGATAATTGGTGTAGCCGACAGCATTGGCGCCTCTCAACAACATCTGGAACGGAATATTTGGTATGAGTTTTCTCATTTCTTCCAAACGTTCCCAGGGGCATTCGTGCAAGAATCTCAACGAAACATCGAAAGTGGCTCCACCCCAGTTTTCCATCGAGTACAACTGGCTAAAATTGTGAGTGACGAATGGCGAAATTTTAAGTAAATCGTGCGTGCGCACTCTTGTCGCCAATAAAGATTGATGAGCGTCACGGAATGTGGTGTCCATAAGTAAAAGGCCTTTGTGGTTGCGTACGGCCTTGGCGAAAGCCTCCGGGCCTTGTTCTTTGTAGATTTGACGGAATCCTCTTGGAGGCTGGACTTCTAAATTGGATAATAATTTTTCTCGTTAGTGTTTGTTTTTCTAAAATCCGCACGTTACATGCAAATATTTTACGCTGTGTCTAGAATCCTGGTACCGGTAACACATTTTTTACCGGTAGTTTTGATGCCGTCACCCATATGACGCACTAGGTACCCGGGATTTAAGCAAATCCCGGTAAAAAATGTAGTCGTTGGCGGTTTCTGTTTTATCAAAGTCCAACTTAACCTAACTTTTTATGTATTTAACTTGTTTTGTTGATGTGTGAACGTAAAGTGGAGTGTTTTGATGAGTTTATCAACGTGAAATTACTTTTTAAATGGTTTTTAATGTAGGAGGACAAACATTTAAAAGTTATAAAGAAGTTGAAGAGACTTTGACATGTGAAATCTGCCAGTTTGTGTAAAATCCCCAGATGTGGTATTGTTCTGATTGCAAACTTATAAATAAAAAATGAGAAATATTTATTTTAATCCACATCCTAAATAGTATAGTTACATATATTGGCTTGAAGTAAATTAATAAATATTAAATTCGATTATGAACTGCTATATAAAGTGTTTCATTTTAAATTTGTTTAAATTCTCAGGGGTTTTCCGAAATACCAACCTTAGTTTACTATCATCTGATTGCAGATTACTTCTAATCTGGGATGAGTTGTTCGACATTTCCGAACGCAAATCATTTAGGGCTATTTGCACGGCTATATCTTAAGGAATATTTAATCTAAGTGGAGCTTCGAATGTGACTCTTGTAGAAGCAAACGTCACATTCAAAGCTCCACTTAGATTAAATATCCCTTAAGCTATAGCCGTGCAAATAGCCCTTATATAAGGTATTTCGAACCTAACTAACTTTTATGGTTTGAAATGTTTCAAAAAAGTGACGAAAACATTAATAAATTAACTTAAAATACCAATCAGCTGATAAATAACGATAAAAACAAAATCAAAACACCGGGATTCACTTAAATCCCGGTACAAGTGCGTCATATTGATGACGTCATCAAAACTACCGGTAAAAAATGTGTTACCGGTACCGGGATTCTAGACACAGCGAATATTTTATTGTCTCTTGGCAAGGTACCAGCTATTAGAACATAGAGGCTGGTTTTGTAATACATATGATGTGAACAATTTCTAAAGCAAAGTCTTGCTTATTTGAAATAATCTTTAATATCTTGAATAAATTATAAAGCATCATCATGTATAGAGAAGAAATTCTAGGCTCTTCATTCTGATAGAGTACTTAATACTTAATACTTAGTTTCAATTATTGCGGAAGATGGAAAAAAGAAAAAATCATAACTAATGTTAGTAATGGTTCATGACTTGAATTAAATATAAAAAAGTAAAACTGTAGCAGTAAGCGGGAATACTTACGACAAAAATCATGCTTAGGATTAGATTAGGATAGTCAATTTGAAAAAAATACTAACCGGCTTTTTGCTGGGGCGTGTAGGACTGGTATTCTGTTAAAAAAAAACAAAACAAAAGCATGCCAAATTAACCAAACCAAAACCAAAATAAATAATGAATATATAAATATAGATTGATTGTGAAACTGCCATGGTAATTTGATAGGATGATTGTAAAGTTTTAAGAAAATTGTAAAAAATATTTAGGTTTTGAAATAAATAAATTGAGCAGGACGTAAGAAGTTCGACTACAAATATTTTAATATACAGTTCCAGGACGTTTTTCCCAGGTAATATAACTTCGGAACGCGTCATCCAATATAAGAGAAGAAGCTGAAAGAAGAAATTATCGAACACTTTATCAGTTCATGGTCGTCGTTGGTAGTACTAGTTAAGAAGAAGGATAGTTCAACCCGATTTTGTTTGGATTTGGACTATCGCTAACTGAACTTATAGTTACCCACTTCCTCGGTATTGATGACACGCTGGACACTTTGACTAGATCAAAGATTTTCTCGACTTTGGACTTGAAGAGCAGCTATTGGCAGGTGGAAAAGGCTTCAGAGGATAAGGAAAAGACTGCATTCACTGTCGGAACTGAATTATGGCAATTTACCGTCATACCATTTGGATTGTGTGATGCTCCCGCTACTTTTGAAAGACTCATGGAAACTGTTTTAAAGGGCTTATCCTGGTCAACCTGCTTAGTGACATAATTGTGGTCGGAAGATCATTTGAGGACCATATAATGAACTTAAAAGAGGTGTTCCAGAGACTAGGAGATTCCGGTTTGAGGCTCAGTCCAAAAAAATATCACCTTTTTCAAGAGGAAGTTCAGTACCTAGGTCATGTAGTCTCTGGTCAAGGGGTAGCCGTGGATAATCAGAAAGTGAAAACAGTTGAAGAGTGGCCGATTCCTGAAGACCTGCATCAACTTTGATGTTTCCTTGGGATATGTACCTACTACCGGCGTTACGTACAAGGATTTGCCAATGTTGCCAAGCTCACGGAAGGACAAAGACGTTTTCAATGGGACCAATTGACCAAGATGAAATTATTGATGTTCCAGGATCAATCACTAATGGAAACAACCCCGAATATTTCAAGTTTAATCTTCTTTATTGGGACTGTAATGCCACCCGACGCCTACAATTCACTATCGACAAAACAGGAATATTTTTGTCCTTCCCACACGAATATCAGGATCAGTAGGTAACTTGCCGAATATTATTTGTAGTCAAACCACTTACGCGATTTAATAAAGTAAATAATTGAAGCAAAAACATGGATAGAAATAAAAGCCATGTTTAAAATAGAGTGGCCCAAGAGATATTTGAATATGTAAAGTATCATTTTTCCTGGCTACACATAGGTTATAGGTATATTGTAAAGCCTATGTTATACTTTTCTGATGGCTAGTAGCATAGAAAAATGCTACTTCACCCTAAACCTCATTGAAAACAAAGAAAAATGATAGGCTCTTATATACCCAATTTTATATGTACCTAACTAGTTTTTAAATGTACCTAAATATAATTAATTATCATATCAGGTAATAATCATGGATTAACAATATTTCAAAGCAGTACTTAGTTAAAAACAAATCAACATAAATATGAAAAAAAAAATCAAAATCTGCACTCACCTAACGATGTTTTCGGTACCTGAGGCTTAACTTCGGCAGGTTTCAGTTTGGTAGCCAAAGGAGTCTGAGGACCGTTGACCAATACTTGAGCCAAATAGACCAGCAATTTTTGAGCTCTGTTTTGCGACGGCATCATTTGGAAAAGTTGCGGATTTTCATCGATGAAATAAGTGTCCACGGCACCGTTGACAAACTTTTGGTTTTCGATTACGTTGACAAGGAAGGGAATGTTGGTTTTCACGCCTCTTATACGGAATTCACGAAGAGCTCTATGGAAAGTGGATGTCAACTTTTTTGAACACAAAGTATATTTAATTCTACCTGTTCATTTTAGCGCAGGCGCTATGCAAGTCCTGCGAATGGGCAATGACTTTAACAAGCAACGAGTCGTAGTATGGAGAAATGATTGCTCCGGCGAATCCAGAAGCTCCATCGAGACGGATACCCATACCTTCTCCAGAACGGTATACCTCTATCCTGCCAGTATCGGGCTGGAAATTTTTGGCTGGGTCTTCGGTGGTGACACGACATTGAATAGCGAAACCCTGAAGCATTTCAAAATAATAAAATTTCTAGAAATCTACGGAATATGAGATAATTAATATTCATGTTTCCAAGCAAACATTTTTAGTCGTTGGTACGAACCGGCGACTATTGTTGCGAACTGCATGTTAAGTTGTAGTGACGGCAAAGTACCTGATTGTTACGATCCCATTACGTGCCTATCATTAAAGTAGGGAATATTTTAAAGGTGATAGTTACGAAAAAATGACTACCCCGGAACTTATACCGCTACGTCACACTTACGTTCCAACCACGTAGTTACCCCTACTTTATAAGATTTGTTGCCGCCTACGGGCGTATTTCCCTTTTCTGTTTGTTTCTATTTAGAACGAGTGTAATAGATGTAATGTAATAAAAACTTTAAAATGCTGAGTAACAAGACAACGTTACTCAAGTTATTGGGACTATCGAATACTACTTTAAAGTCTTCGCGACTTTAACGTTATTTGACGCAGTAACAGTTCCGTTCCAGAAAGTTCAAAAGCTATCTAGAAGTACTGAAACTATCATGTTCTCAGTAATAATAACTACAGAATTACCGAACAAGTCTAAATAAAAGTAGGAAAAACGAGTTAATTTGTGTGAAAATTACGTAATAAAAACTTTGTGAAACCAAGTCTTTTAATGGCTTATCCTTATTCGTTACAAAAGGAAAGTTGTTTTGGAACTATGATAGTCAAAACTCTTTTGAGTTCTGTATAAAGTGTATTGCTATTTCCTGAGTATACGTTAAGTACAAGGAAATCCATAGTTTTTCATAATAGAACTAGGTACAGACATTAAATAAGTGCTACTTACATTTGGTTTAATAGTTTCTTGTGTAATTCCCAATTCCGGTAACGTCATACCTTCAGCTACCCTAATTTGACTTTGCACCAAATCGATTCCAGTAATTTCTTCAGTTACGGTATGTTCTACTTGTAATCTAGCATTGACTTCGATAAAGAAAAAGTTGCCTTGAGGATCGGCCAAGAACTCTACGGTTCCTGCGTTCTCGTAGCCGACATGTTTAGCCAACTTCACGGCCATTGTTGTCATAGCGTCCCTGACTTTGGGGTCTAGATGAGGCGCCGGGGCCATTTCTACGACTTTCTGATGTCTTCGCTGTACTGAACAGTCTCTTTCGTAGAGATGGACTACGTTTCCAGCTTTGTCACCTGAAATTTGGACAAAATATGAAACATGAAACGAGAAAACTTGAACGTGAAATACTTTCATACGGCTCTTGAATTGATTCTGATGTTTCAAGATTTACACTTCAAATCCGTCACTCTTGTACAACAAAATAATTATACTATAGGTACTATCAGAGCAGTATACTAAAAGTTTTGTTCTTACCAAGTAATTGCACTTCAATATGTCTAGGCCTTTCAATATATCTCTCAATAAACATAGCTCCATTACCGAAAGCAGCCAAGGCTTCTGATGAAGCACGTTTGAAACTTTCTTCTACTTTATCCATGCTGGTTACCACTCTCATACCTCTACCACCACCTCCATATGCGGCCTGAAATTTTTCTCGTTACTCATTTGAATAATTTTTACGTAAAGTATAATATTTTTACTTTAAATATCACAGGCAATCCATGTTTTTTACAAAAGTCCACAGCTTGTGCCACACTTGTGACAGGTCCATCTGTTCCTGGTACTATTGGTACTCCAGCGGCGATAGCAGCTTCTCTGGCTGCTACTTTATCACCCATTTGGTGGACGACCTTTGGAGATGGACCTGAAAACAGAATAATAAATGAACAAAAAGAGGAAATATAAAAGGAATATTATAAGACTATATACTTACCAATGAATCGCAATCCTGCATCGATAACGGCTTGGGCGAAATCGGCTCGTTCCGAAAGGAACCCGTAACCGGGATGAACGGCATCGATGCCATGGTCCTTACAAATTTTCACAATTTCGGGAATGTTCAAATAGGCTTCGACTGGAGCTAATCCTTCACCTACCTAAAACCCCAATTGTAGGTATTTATAAAAACAGAGACATTCAATCTTTCGCTATCTGAAAAATATGAGTAGAATAATTCAGCTTAATAGGAAACAATCTCAAGTTCAATCTTGGAGCTGATTCATCCCCACCCATTTTTGGCATAGTATGTGATCTTAGTTCTATGATAGGGGTGTAAGGCATGATAGTATGAGCAGATACACATGTATAAGTATAAGGAAAATATTCACCCAACTGACAACCTCAAATGCACGTGGTGAAAATATCGACCTAGTAACTGCCGGTATAAGCAGTGCTCTCCTGTTGGTCCACAGCTCCGGGTGGAGGAACTAACAGGAGAAGAGGTACTTATTTCTTGTTCTTGGGATGAGAAATCGTCCCAAAAGACAGAGGAACCGAAGGAAACCACTGCATTGAAGATCTTCATAGAATTCTCCAGGATATCCATCCAAAGTTTCTTATCATGTTGGGAATAAGGAAAAAAATGGCATCCAGTGAGAAGAATCCCCAAATTTCAATTAGATAAAAGAAAAAGGATAGCAACGTGGAATGTGAAAACTTGAAAACAATGTTTGCAGTGCAATCTGATTCAAGAAATGAACAGAATAGGGTTTGATATTCGACGAACAACACAGATGAACAATAGTAGTAAAAGTACAGCAAGATAATTAGCCCAAAATCATCCATTTTCCCATGTAAATCTCCATAAGAAAATCTAAGGTCCAAATTGTGGCTTTTTCGACCATTTCCAGGTAGCCCCGCCCCCGTTCAAGACAACAATAACATATCCAAGACATCTCAACAACACCTCAAAGACAACTTCAAGACATCTCAACAACATCTCCAAGACATCTCAACAACACCTCAAAGACAACTTAAAGACAACTTCAAGACATCATGTTAAAGAAATTTTGAAGTTGTCTTTGAGGTGTTGTTGAGATGTCTTGGAGATGTTGTTGTTGTTTTGGAGATGTTGTTGAGATTTCTTGGAGTTGTCTTTGAGGTGTTGTTGAGATGTCTTGGAGATGTTATTGTTGTCTTGAACGGGGGCGGGGCTACCTGGAAATAGTCGAAAAAGCCGCAACTTGGACCTTGAATTTTCTTATGGAGATTTACATGGGAAAATGGATGATTTTATGCTCGTTCTCTTGCTGCACCTTTACTCCCTCCCATTTGAAGTGAGACAAATGATCACGGGGTGTCTTTTTAGTTGATTTTATCTTTACATCTGTCGTGCCCATATTATGAATTCCGCAGCATACAAGAACACAATTAACCAAAGCAATACGATTAACAACAGAATCGTACTGACAAACGAAGTAGACCAAGAAATCCGAAGGCTCGTAAATACGCAACAACACATACCAAGGATAACCATTAATAAATAACAAACCAAAGTTTCCCAAATACAAAAGAAAATACAGAAACGAAACAAGCTATCTTATCTGGGATACATTATACGCGAAAAACGGTATTGTTTCAAGGCAAAATTGAAGGAGCGAGGAAGGGGATAGGAAAGAGAGAAGCTAACCTGGCTACGGAATGTACGGCAGTGGACAAGAATACAGGACTTCCAGACACTACAAACTGTTACAATTTAATAGAAATATTTGTTAGGAAAAACAATGGACACCTGCGCAGGAATCTGTATGGCACTTTAAGAAAAAGAAGTTCTATGACATTATTTTTCCATTCAAATCAATGCAATAATATCTTGTAAAAATGTTCTTTCTGATGTTTCGTCTACTATTGCGGTACTAGACATCTTCAAAAGCGATTTGATAGATGGCGAAGTATAGAGTACCAATAGTCAGTAGTAGACGAAACATCAATAAAGAACCTTCTTACCAGATCCCAGAATACAATTATGGTTTAAGCTTGAATAAACATGGTTACTTTTATTATATTTACTCACCAAATAAGATTCGTCAGCTTTGAGCCGATGGATATGCCCTCTATCCTCCTTCGAGTAAATAGCAACGGATTTGATGCCGAGCTCATTACAAGCCCTGAAAACTCTCACGGCAATTTCTCCTCTGTTGGCAACCAAAACGCTCCTAATTGGTTTGTATTCTGTGGAATAGTGACAGCTGCTTTTGGTCGCTAAATTGAAAGTTGCGCTGCTCGGTAGGCGCGAATTTTTCGCTATCAGCCTTATCAACATGATTAATGTGGTGTGTGAGTTGGATTAATTTCTTTGCTTGGTGGTTGAAATAATTGTCTTACTATTTGTTGTTAGCTCTGGAAAAAAATACGTTTACTAGGTTGGTACTAAAACTGTGACGTAGTGGCAGTCAATAATAAGGTGAAGATAACCAACGATCATAGTAAAAAAAGAAAAAGATCTAACACTAAACAGAAAACAAGATATTTGTTAAAGTAATAACGCATATGCTTTTCGCATTTAAGCATATCATAATTTGACAATATCCTGTACGTATATAGGGTGAGTCCGAAACAGTGGCGACGCGTGACTTGCAGTCTGGGGGGGGTAACGGGAAGATGCGACCCCCCGCTAACGCGCCGCAGGTGAATTTTTTTGCCAGTTTCAAGGTCATTCACTTTTCCAGAACAATAATTTGCTTTGTGAGGAAAATAAAACAAAAAAAAAATGTATTTTCTTTAATATTATTATGTATTTTCTTTTGGGCATCGTAATTTTTCCCTTGAATTTTGGATCCTGGGGGGGTAATTACCCCCATTACCCCCCCCGACGCGACGCCCCTGGTCCGAAATAAGTGCGCATTTTGGAATGATAGATAGAGTATAGCAGGACGATCACTTTTTGTATAGGAACATGTGTCCGCAAACGTCTCGTTAAGAAAATACCGAGGAAAATACAAAGTGTTGAAATTTTCGGAAAATGTTGATTTTTTACCTTCAGATTCAAAATGCATTGAGCGATTTTGTTCAAGTTTTTAGAGAGTGTTTGCCATATAATATACATGCATTTTTTAAACTTCATTGTTGTTTAGTTTCCGGTGTCATGTGAACTGAGTGGAGTATATCGAACAACGCGATTTTCCAAACAATAAATACATCGATTTTTTTATCTCGTAAACGTCGCATCGAACAAGAAAAACTCTGGATACCTTTTCTGTTTAAAATTAAACAAGGAATCAAGAAATAATTTTCAAATTATCAAAAAACCCAGAGGCTTACCACTAAAGAGTCGTTCTATAGGTCCGGTCCTGGAAAAGTGGAACGTGGAACTCAAACGGATTTTTTAGAAAGATGATAGGGAACATTGCAAACACTCTGAAAAGTTGAACAATATGGCTCAGGGCATTTTAAATCTAAAGACAAAAAGTCAAAATTTTCCGAAAATTTCACTCTGCATTTTCTTAACGAGACGTTTGTGGACAAATGTACCTATGCAAAAAGTGATTGTCCCACTGTACTCTATCTAACATAAGAAAATGCGCACTTATTTCAGACTCACCCTGTATAAGGCCCAATTTCACAATAATTGGTGGTAGCCTGCACTGGTTATCAAACTCATAGTTGCGGGTTGACTACATATGGGATATTCTGAAGCTTGACCAATGGTTTTGGCTAAACCACACATTATGAACCAGATATATTGTAGGTTACCAGTGTCTTGTGGTTATCACTGTTCGCGAAACTGGCCCTAAGTGTCATATTATCTTTAAATTTTTAAAAGTTAGGTTTGCCAGGGCAATTAGTCAAACGTTTTAGTTATATTTTTAATTATTTGAATATTTCAATTTATAAAAGATCAAGTGCAGGACACAAAGCAAAATGCAGAGGTAAATACATACAGATTTAATAGAAGTACCAACACTCAAACTGCACTGATTAAACAAACAAACAAATTAAAAAGCTGGCCCTCAAAAACATAAACATATTTCATAACAACTTTGTGCCATGGGCTGAACTACACAAATGCAAATCAGGTAAATATCCTTCGGCTAGACAACATAAACAAATTTACACAAGATTGGCTACTTGTGAAAAACCTTGTACCATTATATTTAATTATTGCAAATAACTAGGTAGGTATTACAAGATTTTGTCGATGTTTTTTCTTTTTTCAGTAAAGTATCAATTATTAAAGAAAACGCTGATAAATATTCTATTTTTAACTAAAATTGTTGTTATTTGTTCTGTTTATCTATTGCATAAAATCATAAAACACTATTTATTGGTACTATAGTAGATAGCCCTATTTATTCAACCATGTTCATTGATACAATTATTTGTTACAATGGGATATCAGTTACCTAGGTTTATAGAAGTAAGACAAATATTTAGAAATCGCTTTTATCTTAATTATTATTTGTTGTTCATTGTAATCATGTTGGGGATTTTTTTAACTGGTTTTAATTTAATATAGAGTTTTTCCTTATAGATAACTAACTATTTCAATTAACTAGGTTGTGGCTCGATTTGGTATACCGCAGGGATGGACAGGTATCCTCATGCTCAAGTGTCAGGTAGATGTAAATGCATATAAAATGTGTAACATTTCTTGGACATTAAACTACCTGTATCTCAAAAACTAATCATAGGAATAAGTTGTGCCCATGGTAGTAATTGATTAGAAAAGTGAGACGTGAGACCTATGACATACTAAAGTTTGCGGGGTCCTTTATGGAAAAGTAATTGATGTATGAAACATCCAATTTCTAGGCAAGAATAATATCGGTGTGGTGAACAACGAAGATTCAGAGTTTGTGTATAGCTGATGGGCTCGTTTTACAATAAGAAAAAACGGGTGTCCCACTTTTTATGCTCACGACTGTATGTCATATTACTTGAATCTAATAAAAATTAGTCTACACATCGAAAAGCCTATTTAACTGTCTCTACTCTGATAGTAATTATATTAGGTTATCGACCACAGTAACGGGAAGGCAGGGAGCCATATTGAAGATCTTGGAACATTTAGCACAAATCTTCAGAGAATGGGTGATGAGAAATATAAAATTCCTATCTTCGATGGCAATAACTACAACAACTGGAAATATAGGTTGGAAATTTTATTAGATGAGAAAGATTTACTTACTTGGTTTTAATTTTCAAATTGTGCTCCCTAGAATACTGCAAGATAGCCTCTAAGTGATCATTCACTAAACCTGCAGCTCCCTCAGGGTTAGAGGAATCAAACCTAATCAGTAGCTGAGTAACATCAGCATAAACCTGCAAATGTGATTTTGAAACCACCGAAAAAATATCAAATTTGTATACCTCAAACAAAAGAGGGCCAAGAATAGTTGCTGTACTAGCGAAATTATGGTTTGGAGAAAAACCTAGACTAAAACAATTAAAGGTTTTTGGATGTGTGGCGTATCTTCACATACTAAAGGAAGTCAGCACTGGCACTGGTCATGTTAGGGAATGTTACAAGATTAACTATTGTCCAAATGGATACAGACTTTGGCATCCAAAAGAAAACACAATTCATAAAGGTCATGATTTATGAAATTTAATGAAACTTTTAAAATAGTACCGGTATCAATGTAATGAAATATCGGAGTTACCAAACAATGAGAGCAGTATAGGTACTAAAAATGTGGAAAGTATACCTGGAGTCAGAACAATAGAATATTCTGAAATGTGCGATAACAAGATGAAAGTGATGATGAAGAAAGAAGAAGTACCAGAATAACACCACAGCCTGAATTGCTAGAAGACTATAGAAGTTTATGTAGCAATAGCACTAAGTGCAAAATCTTATGTAGATAATGTAGCACATCACTTTTCTGATATACAAGAAAGAGATAATGCTAAGCAGTGGGTGGAAACAGTACAAGAAGAAATTGTTTCTTTAAATCAAAACGATAGCTGGTGTAAAACAGAATATTCTTCAAGAACGAAAGCGGTAGATGCAAAATGAATTTTTAAAATAAAACGTGATGACCATGGATATGTCAGTAGGTATAGGGCTAGACTTGTGGCCAGAGGATTTTGGCAAAGTATGATTGCACAGAGACGTATGCCCCCCCATCCCAATCCTGCTAATCATACACCCAAGCAAAACCACTCTCCAATGCACAGCTAAAATCTTAACGTCAAGACAAAATTAGACAAGAAAGTTTGAAGACAAGCAGGAGACTCTGGCAATCCTACCAAGGTCTAATTTCTACCCTTAGTTCTTCGGAAAATTCCAACTAGTCAGCGATTTAGTGTGTGAAAAACTCCTCTCTCGCTAATTATGAGGAAACCACTTTTGTCTAATGGAACATCAGACACCCCAATCTGACCAACAACCACATAAGCCCAGTTTAGCTGAAAAGTGCATGTCCCAATCCCGGTAAATTCTTGCACCCAACCCTCATTCTCTGACATCCCTTACAAATCTCCCCACCTGCACCATAACCATTAACCAGAGACTCATCAGGTCTCAGGATTGGTCAGGGTGCAGGGCTGTCGAACCCATTCAATCCGTACCCGCGCTAGTGAGTGAACCCAATCGCCCAAGGGTACAAAATTTTTGTTTCTTATTTATATCCAAAATTAATGAAAAGTCGGGTTTTTCTATGCTTTTTCCCCACAAAACGAGCGCTGCGCGCTCTGCAACTCCAACTCCGAGCATTCCCAGCGACCTCCGGGTCAAATAGTTGACGTTAAAGGCAGGGATGTTCCAAGGTGCACAATTGTGCATATTAAGCACAATTTGATCTCAATATGCACAATCTTCATAAAATATGCACAATTTTCACAATTCAGCCAAAACAAAATTATTTACCTTCAGCAAACCTTAGGCAACCTCGACTTGCGTCTTGCGCATTGGTTGTGGTTACTGTCATCTGTTATTTCAAAAGCTAAGCTCTAGATTTGTAACTGGGAAAAGAGCAGGAGAAGAGAGCCAAATGAGCCACATAATGGCGGCATACATCCATTGTCATCACTGTTTGTAAAAAGACTTCTGCATGTTGCAACAGGTGTGAGAACCGTTCTAGAACGGTAATTTCCAGTTGTCAATTAGGATAAACGTTTAACTTATTGAAGAATAGGTGGGCAACTGAAAATTACTAGTTCTGTAACGGTTCTCATGTCTGTTGGAACAGAGCTGAGGTTTGTCGCGAGTCACTGTAATTTTTATTTTAATTCGTCAACAACACATCTATGAATAAGGTCCGTGAAGTTGGCCCCTAAAGTGTTAATTTTTTTTGGGAAAATATCTTTTTTGTTGGTGCTTCTTTAGTGCTTCTTAGTGCCTCAATTGTTTTCGTTAGTGCTTTTTCTGTTTTCTGTATATTGATTTTTTTGTGATT